TTCTTAAGTATTGGCCTTTATCGTTCTCTTTATTCTTGACTTCCACAATTAGCTTAGTATATGTATTTGAAGGCTACTCAAAAATTTGATCGTCATCTAGGAAACGGAGTTTATCTTACCTTCACTTTGTCACACTCTGGGAAGCGTTTCATCAACTCATGTTGGACTGGACTCTTTTCAGCCTGCGCCTTTGAAGTTCACCTCCCATGCCATAAATTCTTGTGGAATGAAGCATCCCTTCCCTTCAGGGAAGTACCTAGAGGGTAGAGTTGTAGTTGCAGGTACCCCCGAGTCTAGCGCAGCCACTGGATGGGTAGTCCCTCGGTAGCGGCTTCGGCGGAGCAATCAAAGTGTACACTACCTGCCAGCGTTGCACACAACAGAGCCCGAGCGCAGCGCAGCCGTACCGACGCCATCTGGTCTATAAAAGTAGCGCCGTCGCATTTAATTAAGCTGTAAATGCTGGCTGTCCGTGAATGCGGTAGCGGATGCCACACAGGGTGGGATGGCTCGACTGATCTCCGAAGTCCCCTCGAGGGCATCCGTATTTGAACATCCAGCGAGACTCATTCCGAGAAGAGTGCTGTTGTACCTTTTACGACGTCGGTAGATAGGCTGCACTTAAGAGTAGTTCGTTTTTCTTCCGTCAGGCTACGGTAATCTCATTTCGAAGCAAATTAGTCGCACGGATGTCTGCATCTGGGTATCCCACACGCAGACACATTCACATAGACTGAACGGTGCCGCTTGAGTAAAAAGCATTCAGCGCAGAGCCGGTCTCCATGGTGGCTACCGTACATGGTTGAGCGTGTGCGCATGAATTGTGCATGCGTGCGCTCGCGCTAATTGTGAGGTGTGTTTTTAATCCGAAAATGCGTACTCGGCGAGCCTCGATCGCCATAAAACGACGAGATCGGCAGCGGGATAGTCGTCATGGGGACGATCAACGCCGTCACATTACCTCAAACTTTTCCGTACAACTATCTTCTGAGGTAATCTGACAGTACAGCACTTCCGCCCCGCTGGCCCATGACGGTGGTGAAAATTACCTTGACACAAATTTAGTGAACAAGTTCAAGCTCCCCAAGTGAAAGGGTCCTTCAGCCCTTCCTGGTTTACTTGTTGAGATGTATGGATCTACACACTTTGTGTCTTCTCTATAATCTTGCTAAGGTACATACTTCTTAGCGTCTGTTCAAAAAGCTTCGTGTAACCGTCTTGGACTCCTAAACTAGGCTTTTCTCAGAGAAGCAGTGAGCGCAGAGGGGATGGAATGGTGTGGATATGGATTATTACAGGCCAGCGATGCTCGAAGAACCATCTTTCCTGGTGTTTTTGTCAGAAATCACAGACTTGCTCTTCAGGTTACAATAGATAAAGGATATATCAGCTTAATATGTTGTATCAAGCACCGCCAAATGGGAGCTGAAGGCCCCCAGTAGTACTTAGAAACGAAACACTGACGGAACTACGATGAAATAAGCAGTATGGTGAGCGTTCCCTGTTCATGAGCCATTCACTTCTATCGTGAGATATTCTTGCTAATGCAATCGATCCCCTGCAACACAGAAAGAACAAATCTAGGTCAGCAAGTCTTTCATGAAAAGGCAGTAGCTCAGCGATGATAAGCCCCTGTAGCTCTCCCGCCCGTCATTAAAATTTTAAGAGACTGATAGTAATTTAGGGATACGAACCTCCAAATCAGAATTCGATCATAATCAGTTCCAAACTTTGTTTCAACCTTGGCTTTGTAACAGTAGCAACAGTAAAAGTCATCAATTCAAAACCCTAAAAATGGCGATAGTGCGTTCCCTGTTGATTCGCCTCCTTCAGATCAACTAAAATCCAACGAGTGACTCGCCAATAGCGGGGATCATATCGGTGAAAGAACGTGGGTGCGCATTATGACAAATGGAGGACCAACGAGCCGTGAGGCGGCAGGAGGGACGAAGCTCAGTGTAGACGAAGGATAGGAAAGAAGCGAGAACAGGAGTTAATTTCAGACAGAAACGCAACGCGGACAAGGCTGTGGAGCGAGCAACCACACAATAAGAGAAAGGCTAGCAAACATAAACAAGGAGAACATCCCGAACTAATCTGTGCCTCAAGAAAATGAGCGGGGAGTGATTAATCAGGGGCATCGGCCGGGAACTACAGTAGTGAGGAAAAGACAAGCAAGGGAGGTGCTGTATAGAATTAACAAAATAAAGACGAGAAGACGTGCTCTAGCCGATCCTAACCCGTATGGCGGCTGGGAGCAACGAAGACATGAAAGAAAAAGGAAAAATAATGCAACCTGAAAGTAAAAGGACTAGTCTTTGCATATGGGGCGGGCACAAATATTTCTGTTTCTGAGGTATAGATCTCACCAAAAAAATAATAAAAATAATTATATTGCAGAGAAGAGAAGAGATTCGACCATAGACATCCAGTGTGTTGCGCTGACTATGCATGGTAGACAAAAACTTACCCTGAGCAGAGAATTTGGAAAACTTTCATTGTACATAACTGGTTGAGAAAGAAATAGTGATGCTGAAGCTCGAAGCTTTTTGTTTGGCAGAAAGTACAGATTCCTCGCTCACTCCGTTCTCACGCCCACCCAGAAAGTCGGGTATGGAAGCATTTGAGCGAAAGATCTCCTACGACCGCTCAAACTTCCCGTCCCTTCGCTCCCTTCTTCGTTCTTCTTCGGACCACAGTCAGGGTTTCCTTGCTGTGAGCTCCGTGTTATACTGTATGTTTGCAGTGCTGTTTGCACGACTGACGAAAGATAGCGCACATCAGTGAGTGAGGCATTCCTCCACCTTCTCCTAGTACGTTGCTCTTGAGCACTGCAAACAATGGACAAAGTTTTATCGCCTTTTCTCGGTCCGAGCGGGGAGTGGACCAGTCTAGGAGGCGTACCCGGAAAGGGAAAGTAGCTCGAGCTCTCAGGAGGGACAAACTCCAGATACTGGAGAGTTACCCAACCGCGATGACTGCTTGAATTCGACGTTTTTCAAAGTGAAGTCCTTGGCGAGTGGATCGTAAACGAAGCCTTGTCGTCGGTGAGAGGACAGATGGCGAATGACGATAGGCGCGACTTCTTTTCACTAGCACCATCACTAAAAGCCGCCCCTGCCTGCCTGCTGCCTGAAAAGAAACCCGCCACCGTAAAACGTTACCGGATACCGTACTTTAGATACATTGTCGTGTGACCAACGTCAATCTGTCAAAGCAGCAATCACAATAAGGCAGAATAATTGGGCACAGCATGAAAACTTGTCTGGGGGGAGGGGGTTGCTGCTAACATGCAGGTTGAGCGAACGGTTAAAAAATTCCTCGCATACACGGGAGTTGACCCTGGTTCCAACCACTAACTGCCCCGGAGCTTATGGTTTTTTGTATGGCCCCTATGGTTCCGTGGATCGCTTTCAAGGGCTGTAACGTGCAGTTGAAAAAGAGCAATATGTAGAGTAGGTCGTAAACTCGGGATATTCACTCCATTAGAGTGCAATATTTCGTGAAATGGGTAACTTCAGTCGTTTCTCTAATAAATTACGTAGTGGAAAATAGCAGCTGCTGATAAGGGCGCATGATCAAGGTTTCGGAACCCGATTTTCAAATTGCGCCGAAAATTTGATCTATTCATTTCTGGGTCCATGAAACGTTTTCTCATCGTTCCATGGAATCGTTCCCAAGTGGCGTTTTTCGTATTGACTTACCCTGATAAATGCAGTGAATCGTGGAGCCCCTTTGATCTTGCCGACAATCACATTCGAACTGACACTTGACGAAAAACAGCCAGCCATTTCACCTGGCTGACACTACATTGATTTCTGCCGACAGGGATCGTAGGTAAATTCTGTGCATCCGGCTGTGGAAGCATTGAAGTTCAGTATTCACAGATTCCACTAGGCTCAAATACCACAACAATATACTACTAGTAATACTCGAAGGGGCAAGAATGTAATTGTACTCTCTGTAGAGCCGTGAAAATGTGCATTTCAGAAAGGCAGAGGTTTAGGCAAATGAATTGCTGATCTATGCAGAACCTCCCAATCGAACAAGAATTGGAATATTACCGTAGTAATGCACTCAGTATTGATTTCATGGGGATAAAACTCATAAACAACGCTTGAGACATTGAGAACGCGTTTAATTAACTTCGTCTCAGCAAACAAACCGGTCCCACGTATTGATTTCCTGCATGGGGTTCGCTAGCTTTCAGCTACGGAAATTCGAATGTTTTAAAGGGAAAAATCAC